CGGCCGAAGTGTTATGGGCCTTTCCCCAAGTCTAAAGGACCCTTATTTATGTATGACTGGGTCGCCGGGACTCACTGTCATGGAAGGCTCCGGAAGGAGGCCCCGTAGAGAACCTGCACGATAGACCAAACAAGTCTTAGCGCAGGGCTTCAATGAGATATTGAGTTCCTTTGCCCAGTCACGTTACTAATGCGGAGAGCTAACTTCTCTCCCCGCGAGGCCTTTCGACTTGTATCTACTAACGGTCGGATTTCTACCCGTCGATCTACGGTACTCTAATACTGAGAAGCATCGTGCGGCTCTCCGGAGTCGCACGTGGTTTCCAACGACTCCCGGTGCTAAACCCTGAATACGGAGACTCCGCATTCTGCAAGTCGAACTTGTACCGCGCCGCGGCTTAGCGCGCACACCTGTTTCTGCAGCAGCAAGTGTCTGCATGCCACGTGTCGAAATCTTATACGCGTGCAACCCTGGTGGGACTTCCGCAGAGGGCGGGAGTATTCAGAGAGCACAGCTAGCTGAAAGCAAGTCCGTACAAAAGGGGTACGTGTCATGTCACGATTGGACTTTCACACGCTCTGAAGTCATTAAAGACATAATTCCGGACATACCGAAGTCAAAGTGATGCCGACATGATGCACGCGAGCTTGCGATGAGCAGCTGCAAGAGTTCAGCTTGTCGTGCTCCTTTCTGTCCTTTGCTTCGCTTGATTCCTTCTTGATAATAATATTTTGCCACTTCAACTGGACTCAGATCAAAGTTTCAGCGCGGCTGGCGAAGCGCCCAGTAATTGGCATTGGCAACTTGATCGAACGTTGTCAGTTGATTCTTGTCCGCCTCTTCAGCTCGCAAACTCGCTGAGCTTCAAAATTTCTGGCAGGATAAAGCCGGCGCAGACAAAACTCTGCTGAGTTGCAGCCAGCGTGTCGAAGCCGGAGAGAGCAATGGCGCCCTTGGGTACCGACAGCAAAGCTGGTGTGGCCAATGCGTCCGCAAATGGAGGTAAGCTGCGTCACATGTGCAACTGCTGACTACAAACTCGACGCCTTCCCTTGGCTCTCAGCTTTCGTGGGACTTCAAGGTGTATGTATCCACTGGTTACCTGAGTATAGTGAGAGAATTTCTTGAGGTCTCTCAGCTGGCTGGCGGCTCAATGTCGTGGTGGAATTTATGAAAAGCGGCTTCCCCTCCACAATTGCATTGTCAGACATCTGCAGAAACTGTTTCTGTGATCAGTTTCATTTAAATTGCTCCTTTTCAAGCTCTAGCTCCTAGCGCGCTGTGCAGACCACATACAGGGAAAAGCGTGACCAAAACAAAATTTCTGGAGTCCACCACCGATTTGGTTGGCGTGTCAACGAGCTTCCCTGAACGGTCTCTTTTGTCGCTGTGACCCGGTGACATCCTTCTGGATATCCTTCTGTCATTGGGCTGCCCTCAAAGTCGTAAAATGCTGTCACCATAAATGTATATTTGCCTTCGAGCTCTTAAGTGCACATACTCATTTTCTCTGCTCTAATACAACACACTATTCAATCATGGGCTTTACTGTGGCTGATCGACACCTCTGCCCAGTTGGCCTCAATCCAAGAACTCCGCACTCCCACCTTAAACCCCCTGGCTAACCCCACCCAGTCCAGGTTGCTAACCCATTGCTCCTTTCTGTACAGTCCATTACTCGTCAGGGCTCAACATCGTCCCTGCAAGTAAGCTGGACCTGGTCTCAAGCACCGAGTATGATTACATCATCGTCGGGGGAGGCGCCGGGGGGTGCCCTTTGGCCGCTGCGTTGGCAGAGGAGAAGTCACTCAGAGTCCTCTTACTAGAGAGGGGGGCCACTAGGGACCAGTACCCAGAGACAAAGGTGAGCGGGCGACTCAGGAAAGCTGCACTGTTAGGATGCCCAAGAGCGCTTGCTGCTTTATCAGAGGCTCCACATTGTTCCAGCTCTTACACCACTGGGGTAGAAGTGGCAGCAAGTCGATGCTATGGACAGGATGTGTGTTGAGTTGGAAGAAGGAGCAGCTAATCTGTCAGCCGTCTTTCGCTTGTCAGCTTTGCATGTTGCAGTTCTAGGATTGATGGACCACTTTGCTCTTCTGACCCTATTCTTAAAAAATGGCCCATTGGGCAACCCCTCTTGATATGGGAGCGGCGACCAATTACGTTACTTTCAGAATCCGTGCACAGTTTCTTGTTACGGGTTTGTGCTGAACCACAACTGATCTACAGTGTGTCCTGAGAAGAAATTCCATGGATTCTACGGAATGTGTTTCTGACCCGTCCTTAAACGTGTGGACCCTCAGCGTTCCCAGTCACAGCTAGTGTGACCCAAAAACCGTGACCAAGAAAAGTCTTGGCAACATTCCCTTTGCATCGTTGTCCGGCGCAATGGCTTTATCCTTAGGACTGCCGTCCAAGGAAAGTTTCCAAGGAAACAAAACCAAAAACAGGAAAAAAAAAGAAGAAACCCAACGGCCTTCACTCCATTGCGCAGACTATCGACGGGTGGTATGACCTACCCAGCACAGACGCACTTCAGCTGACGCGTACCAAGGATGGGGTCGTATTTGCGCGGGCAAATGTGAGCACTTTTTCGATCTACACTCTTCCATCTACAGGTTTCAGCTCTAAATAGGGACTGCGTGGTGGCATGGCGTATGTGTTTTCTTTTTCTTGCTCTCCTTCTCAAGAAGCAATTGACTCACATGGAGGTTCAACCAACCCTCAGACTTAGGGCCGTTCGTAGTGGTGGCTTGTTTGTCGGTGTTGGTAAGGCCCGTGCACAAAGATTGACATTTTATCAGTCTTCGGTTCTTCAGTTGCAGCTTTGGCATGGCTTCTGACAACCAATCGCTTTCATCTTTGATCTTAGACTCCCAGTCTTCATCTATGAACTTTTCATGTAATCAGAACTACATGTCACCGATTCCGATGCTATGGCTGTGAGGTGCCATCAACAGAGGGCCTGCGGAGTGACTTGACCCCTTGATCCTTCTCTTTGCAACCGCATACAGCTGGGTTTTTATAGTCCTCCATTCTCTTCCTCGCACCCAAAGCCCTCCAAGTATCTCCTTCATCCTCAGCCCCTTCATATCGACACTCCCTTTCTACCGTGTTCCTTCCTTCATCAAGACTATTGACGTCACCCCGCAGTCGTCTACGTCAAGCAATGCTGGTGCAGGACTTGATGTTGGGTATATTAAACAATACGCCAGGCTTTATGCTTAGACTCTACGACTCTTTTTGTGAAGGATTACTGGAGTCTGATTTTGAACGGGACACCAAATGCGCGCAGGTCCTCAGCGGAGGAACAGCTGTCAACATCGGCGTGTGGGGCCACGCAAGCGCGGCGCACATCAAGGAGGAGGGATGGGACGCCGACGCAATGCGGAGCGCTTATGAGCACCTGGACGCGCGCTTGTCGCACCCGGGGCTTGAGGGACCTTTCCAGGACAAGATGCTGGAGGCCTTTACGGAGATCGGCATAAAGCCCAACAACGGGGTCACGCCTGAACACCTGGTAAGGTTCTGCGTCGATCGAAACGGCTGAGCCCTCATCTCCGGTCGTCAGGACCAATGAGGACGCTTCAACCAATCACGTGGTATGATAAGTACAGACCTAGTACAGATTTCAACCGCAGCGGTACTGTTCAAAGCTGTACGGACAGCGGAGATGCAAAGCTGGCGAGCCAAGCAGTGGTTGACGCGGAACCCAAGACCTGCTCATGGCACCACACTAAGAATCAGGATCTGGGCTCGAGACCGATGGTGAATCAACTTCGAGACCGATTTCAGAGTTAAGAGTCCCTGTTTCAGACACAGGCGTTCTATGATCGACTCGATGTAAGATCAGTATCAATTGAAAAGTCCCTTCTTTCAATTCATCCCTGGACTAGGCTTCCCTGGCTGGTCTCAAAAGTGGACGGCCCTGAAGCGCGATCAGCCCTGAATTTTAGAAAGACAAGGTTTACTGACCGGTCCCCGTGCCAATGCTTAAAGTCTTTTAGTGACCCTCGCTAAATATAACCTCTGATAAGTGCAACTTAGCTGTTCCTCTTCGGAAAGCAGTGGAGAGCCAACTTATGGTCAACAAGCTAGTTGAGAATGGTTCTTTTGTGGGGAAAGAGGCTGCTATCTTTACGCTCGTTGAGCTCTGCAGGTCTTGTTGCACTTGGAGTCACTTTTACAAAACGTCCTGAATGAAAGTCTCTGGATGGATCCTTCAGCGAGCGCCTCCGATCCGGGGTCCTCTTTGAATCTTATCAGTGAAGTGTCCACTGAATGTCACGAATTCTTACCAACGGCATTGCTTGTTGATTTCAAGGCAATACATGTTGGTCAATCCCGATCGGATACTCATCCGTTTTCGTCCTGAACCAGATCCGTTCTCGTACCAATTTGACCTGCAAGCAAATTGATACGAGCTCTGGCCCTACCAACCTGGATTCCCGCTAGCTCTACCTTTGCGAACGGCAAGCACCACACAAAGAAGACTCCGAAACGTGTGTTGTTTGCGAGTTGGCTGTAAAACGACTACCCCGGGTGTTACAAAAGCTACCTTTGCAAAGCGCAAGCACCATTTGAAGCCATTTTTGAAAAGACGTGGACACGTGTCGCTTGCAGATTGGCGCGAAAACCATCATGCGCACGTGGGACAAGAACAACGTTCGTCACCCCGCGGACGAATTGCTCGTGGGCGTGGAAAATGTCGACATCGTCACGCAGGCGCTTGTTTCCAAGATCCGCTTCTCAGGCTCCGACGGTGAGCTTCCACGAAGAACTAGCGTGGGCAGCCCGGTTCCGGGGCGTCAAACCTGCAACTTTGTCGCTAAACTGAACGGGAGAAAGCCCGACGCTTTTGATGACTCTTCAAATTGAGCAAAAGTCAGCTCTAGCAAAAGTAAGCTTCGACACTAAACACAAAAACCTAACCCACAAAAACACCTGCTCTGCACCCGTACCCACCCTAAACCCCCAGACTACACTCACCCGTCCCAGGCTAGTCAGCTTACTTTTGCTAAAGCTTAACTTTGCTAAATTGAACCTTCGTGCGCTTCTGTTCTCGCTCGCTTGTCGCAGATCCCACGGTCCGCTCTAACGCATTGAAGCGTCCAGGTCTTTCAGAGCCCTTTGTCTTGAGTGTGCAAATATCCAACACCGCTTTCAGCTGGGTTTCGATTGTGAGTAAGAACAAGGTCGCCAATCAGATGAGCAAGCTCGGATCGACGGCGCAAACGTGATGAACGCTCCGCCGCTTCGGTTCGTTTCTAGTCGCTCTATTCTGTACAGGTGCTCTCATGTTAACGCGCTTACGCTCGGAAAAGTGGGCCGAACGTAGCGAATTGAAGCAGTTCAAGCTAATTCCCAGGGTTAGCCTCCCAGTCGGGTCTAACCTCGCCTTAACCGCGCACTTAATCCCGCCCAACCTCGCCTCAACCTCGCTTAACCTCCCTGCGTAATCAAATCCTGTCCTTCAAGCTGGGTCACGCCGTGTCACGCAATTGTATACGCCCGCCCCCTTCGTCTAGTTCTTCTTTTGTAAAACCATGAACTATAACACAGAAAAGCTTCTTACTGGGTCCTTCTGTAGGCACCTTGCGCGCCGTTGGCGTCGACTTCACCTCCGCTGACGGCATCCCCCGCAGCGCTGACGTCAGCCCCAGCGGGGGTGAGGTCATCCTGGCCGCCGGGACGATGGGCACCCCCCAGCTGCTGATGCTCAGCGGAATCGGGCCGGAAACGGAGCTCGAAAAACTCGGGTTAACCCCCCGGGTTAGCCTCCCCGTCGGGCGTAATCTCGCGGACTGCCCGCTGAACGGGATCGGCATCCAGACGCGCGAGGCGCCGGAGCGTGACGTCATCTCGGTGGCTGGAATTCAGGAGGACCGCATCTTTTTCGTCTCGACCGGGAATGGGGAACCGGGCACCACAAAGTGGGGCCTCATGCCGATGGTTACGCCCGGGTTAAGGACTAACGAGACGATGAAAACTACAGCCGCCGCGATCGGCGCGCTGCCGGAGGAGCTGCGGGCGGAGATGGGCCGTTCGATGGGCGTCTTCTTCAAGGTGAGCGACTGGCGGCCGTTCGATCGCTCATGATGGTCTGTCAAGAGCCGTTTAAAGGGAGCGTCAGACTATGTATGCAAAACGCGGTCACGCGGCAATTTCAATACGATGCGCGCCACACTTCGATGTTGCTCTCAAATGTTTGTCGTCAAAGGCATACGGCGACCAGAACAAGTGTGTAGGGGCTTCTGTGTCGCCGGAAGTGGAATATACCCCACAAAGCCCCCAAAAAAGACAGCGGCTTTCGCTTTCAGATCAAAGCTGAGGTGGGCGCAGTAAAGAGTCACGTTTTGACGATTTCGAACGATTTAGTGAACGTTACGGACGAGTGGGGTGAGTTGGGGGGTAACGAGTGCGAGAGTGTAGATTTGTGGGACAGAATCATGATTGAATCCGGAGGAGCTTTCTCGATTGATATTAGTGTCGAAGCTGGCCGACGTAGGGTCGAACGACGGCACATTCCAATGACTGGGGCTATTGCTTCTGGATCGTCCTTGGCAGAGTACAAGGAAGAGGCAACTCGCCGTCGGAACCTTGTTTGCGCCGAATCAATCACTTGTGACGGAACAAGAGAAAGGCCCGGACAGCCGCAAGATTATGCTTTTACCAGCTCAGCAAGCTCCGCCAATTTCTATCTAGATTGGAAATCGATTGAGTCCGTTTACCACCACGTAAACGTTCATTCAAAGTTCTGGCAGTATCCAGCTTCGAAACGGCTGGCAGTATCAGGAAGAGCTTGTCTGCAGTTCTCTCTCCGAGATGATCTTTCCGCTCAACTCTGGGTCTGTGAAGTGCGGAGTCCAGACAAGCTTTTCTGAACGCGTTCTTTTGGAATGTTCGCCCAAGCACTCGCGACCCGAGACGGTGAAGCATACGTGACGCATGCGGATTCGATGTTCCCCTCTCTCTCTTATCTGTACATCGCGATCTATATCGCGATCTCCTTGGATCGATGACGACGCGAGACGCTGACGTGAGCGTGACGCAAGCGGACTGAATCTCTCTTTCTTTTCTGCGGCTGTATCCGGTGATGACGCGAGATTATGACGCATGCGTGACGCATGAGAACTGAATGTCCTCCTTCCTTATCCGCAGCTCTACCGCGTCAAGACACGTGGCGCCATCACATTGGATTCCACGGACCCCGCAGCAACGCCGTCGATCGACTACCCCTACTTCACGGACCCCGCTGACGTGGCGTCCGGAATCGAAGGCATTCGGACGCTCAAAGCCCTGCTCGCGTCCAAGCCCGTGTCCGAACTCAAGGTCGACACCGTGCCGCAGTTTTTGCTGAAACTCGCGCCGGCGCTCGCCGCTTTCCCCCCGGGGCAGTACCCCGGGGCGCTGCCGCTGCTGCCCGACCCGAACGACGCATCAGAGGCCGCCACGTGGCTGCGCAACACGGTGTGCACGTGCTGGCACATGCACGGCACGTGCCGCGTCGGGGAGGTGGTTGACGATGAGCACAGAGTGAAGGGCGTCGAGAAACTGCGCGTCATGGATGCGTCGGTGCTGAGAGACGTCCCCGGGACTAATCCCATGGCGACGATCATGGCGCTCGGCAGGGTGCTGGGGCTGAAGATGCTCAAGGAGAGAGTAGAACTTGCCTAAATCTTGAAAGCACAAACGCCTCGAACTTCCAAACCCGTTGACGAAGATCCGAAGGATTGAGCCTGAGAGGGTGCTGGGGCTGAAGATGCTGAGGGAGAGAATGGAACTCGCTTGAACCCCATATACCCAAAACCTTCAAATTGAATCCCAAAACTTAGTATAAAAACTCGAAGAAGGTTGTGGGTTCCACAAGTCAAAGAGCCACCAGAGAAAGAGTCTTAACGATAGTCGTGAGGCAAGCACGCCTCGCCCGTAGGAGTGGGTGAAGCAGGCTTGGGAAGAGGCGGAAAGAAGCAGCCAATTCGTGGCGTTTTGATTGGCTCAAGCGGCATTAGCTGCACCTTTGAGCATCTTGCAAATTGCGGATATGTGCATAGTTGTTGTTGTTTTCAAGGCCCTTCGGATACGGACTCAAATAGACTAGCCGTTTTGTACAAACATTCGGGAGACAGTTTGTACTGTACTTTGTTGTCAGACTATTAAAAATATAAAGCGGCGGTTTTAGAACTCTATAGTACTCGGGAGTAGAGGAAACGTCGAATGTACGAAATGAATAATCAGCTGACATATAGAGAGCTCAAACATTTGTGAATCCCGTGAGAAGCAGGCCCGTGGCCATACTGGCTACGGCTATTTTGATTCAATTAGATTCAAACGATTTTCGGGCTTGACGTCAATCATCGAATGGATAATGCGAGGGCCAAGCACGTACTCGCCAACTGCCGCTTTACTTCGCACTAAGCGGCGCCTTCTCGTTCTAAAGTCCTATAGCTAATAACGTGCCAGGGTTGCCCTCAATAGCTAGCACAACTTGACTTACTTCGTAATGATCGCCGCACTGACTCCTCTTAGATTCAATGATTGGCAATTCGACAGCTACTCTACTGATAACAACGCCAGTAGGTGAAGGACACTTGGAGAGACGATCCGCGCTGAGGACCGGCCCGGCCCGAATCAAAGGTGGTCTTTATAGGAGACGCGGTAATTCCAAGTTCCTTCTGCACAAACATCCGACTCGATCTGATCCGACAACGAAAACGTTTGACATGCGGTGCCATATACTATGATCTAGTGACCGCTATATATATTTACATGCATCATGCCAGGCAGTTTACACTTCGAAACATGAACAAATGAAAATCAGTGAAAGATGATGCAACTAATCATCCGCGAGAATGGCCTGTGTTGAGGTTGGCCTTGATGTTAATGGCGGCCCCAGTGTTGAGAATTGGACTCATTCGAAAACAGCCTTCTAGCGCGCGGCCGCTCCGGGCAGCGCCGCCGGCCCCTTCAATGCTGCATTTTCAATCATTGAATCTTGGGCTGCGACCTGCGGAGATCCATCATGTTCTGAGATACATGCATGATCAGATCAATCTTCATAACGAAAGCACTGCCTTGACCTGTGACGATATAAGAGTGTGGTTGGTACAGCATGTGCATGCCTTGTTTGGTCGATAAGAAACTCAGTGACTGCAGCCGCCTGCCAATCAATACCTAATATGATGTCTATCCAATCTCGCGTAACAAGCTCAATGAACCGACCGCGGCTCGCTCAGCGCCCACCTTTGTAGCTCTCTCTAGTAGCTCGACTTTCCTACTTGCTTAAGCGCATTGCTGGCGAAGACGACATTCCGTCAATTGAGCCCACGCCGTCCGACTTGGGATTGCAGCTGGCCAGCTCAACGTATGGATGAGTCCGAGAACGATGAGCCTTTCTTAAATATGCGGACGGACTCTGCTGGAGCCGTCTTTCAATGGGACACCGGCTGGAAGACCGTTTGTGGTAAAGGACCGTGATGCGATGCGTGGAAGACGAAGCTCTCACAACCTGACGTTCTTAACCTGGCTCAGGATGCACTCCCAGCGGGCATCGCCTTCAAAATGACCGCGTTGCTTGCGTGCCAGAACCTCGATCTCGGGTTTCAACCTCGCCGCACACATCGACGAGAAGACATCTGACTGAGCAGTGTTTACTGCCACTCGTTACGATGCAGTCTTTGCTGAAAGTAGCATGCACAGAGGCCTACAGCAAGCTACCTCTCGGACATTCATAGAATTGTTCTTGCGTCTCCCTCCCTTTCGCTGAGAGCTCTACAACGCTCTCAATCCACCGCGTGCAATATCACTACTCTTAATTCCGCCGTCTTTTCATGGGCCCCGCTTTTGCACATCATATGAATGGACGACGTTTTGCTTGCGTCAGCACCTTGGTTCCCTTGCCGCTGGTGACGGCATGCCCATTCACGTAATACCTGTCAGCCAACTTGGCTTTTCTGCCAAGCCGCCCAGTATAAGCTCTCGTTTGCCACTGACATCATTCGGGGAACCTGCTTCCGGCTCCCGATCCCGACCTGCGCCCCAGTCTAGTCACGTCACGCTCGCGTCAGCAGTGGAAGGTGAAGGCGTGCCCCGCGCGGTACCCCTGCGCGAAGAAGTCGTGCCACGCGTCCTCGTGCGACCAGTGCTGGCCGTGAGCGTGCTGGCCCTTGTAGAAGTCCGAGTCGAAACACCTGCAGCGGAAAATCATTTTATGATGACTGTTAACAGGGTGTATCAGACATGGAAGCGGAAAAGAAAACTGCGAGCATTCAATCTTGGATGTTGACCTTGACTTTAGACAACCGCGAACGTCACCTCAACCTTCAGACGTGTGCTTCGTATGTATGATTGGCAGGCTTTGTACGCCGTCGTAATCGTTTGAATTGCCGTCCAGTTTTGATTTAACCCAACTTATCAAGTCGGTGTGGCTAAAGCAAGCGGGACGAATCGAGCCCGATGAAGACGTCATGGTTGTGAACCGGTCCAGACTATCAACCTGTTCTCCGATTTACAACTTGTCGACAACTAAGGGTGATCCTCGTGACGTAAACGAAGGTACTTTTCGGGTCAAAACACTCACGTCGACGGTTTCGACCTCAGCTCCTGCAACTCGCTCTCAGCCCGGTCCCCGCCCTGCTCCCGATGAACTGGGTTAGCCCGCAAGTTTATCAAACCATCTGCAAACGCAGAGAGGAAATACGTCACTGGACTGCAAAACCCGGTGCATGAACCGGGTTTAGCTCGCAGGTTGAGCAATCCATCTGCAAAGTCGTAAATTGAATCTACCGAATATTACTGCAAGAACGAGGGCTGTCTTCCATGGTAAACCAAGGTCGACATTCACCTTTGGTAAGAAGAGAGCGCGGTTTCCGACGTGGCCGCAACAACAGATCAAAGCAGTTTCAACATTGGCGTTGGTCTGACAAACTCGGCCAGTAATATTAGTTCACACCAGTCTATTCTCCTTAAGCCTCAGCAAGGAGAAAGAGACGTGCTCTGCAATACTCCCCTCGCAAAGGGATAGCAAGGAGGTCGGTCACGCCAACGAAAGACAAGCGTCAGCTCGAAGACGTGACGTCAGCACCTCAAGTGACGTCAGCGGGCGGATGATCTCACCCCTGAGCTGCGACCGCTGGTTCTCGAGCTGTAGCTGGAGCTGCTCCACCTGCCGCCGGTACTCGTCCACCAGCCCCTGCGAGAAGCGAGAGAGATGCTGACGTCAGCTGCTGAGGTCATCGTTACACGTGTTTCTTTCTCCTGTTTGTAACTTCCGTCGACGAGCTCGGACCTATTCTGTGCTTCGTCGTTCTTACGAGACCCCGTGAAAGAGTGTAACGGGGAAGAAGGCGTGTGTCCTAATGCAAGCTTCACATGTTTAAAGCCTTTCTAGAAGAGTGGCAAAAGGCGCGGAAGTGAAGAGAAACTGCCTGAATATGCAGAGACGTTTTCAGAAGCTTTCAGTAGCGCTTTACAGTACAAACATCATCCCTTGGCTCCGAAGTCAACGAATATCCAAGCTTCAAGAACGGTTGAACCGCAAACCCGGAGATCCAAAACCAAAGTCGTTGTCTACTGGTTTTCACGTCCCAGCGAGAGACTGGCCCGTATTGGCCCGCCTTTCAATCGTGCTGCATCGGTTTTTTGTGATTGTTGTTCTGGCTCCACAGCTCGGCTTAGCCTGACCTAAGCTGAGTCTGCCTGACAACCGTTCGTCTAGCTCTGCCGGATCCTAAGACTTTGGATCTCCAAGGATTTCCCATAAGATGTCAAGCTAGCACTTTGTAAAATACTGACAAGCGCCACCTGCATACAATCACCGGCGAATCCTCCAGATCCTTCCCAAGTCCCCTGCTGTTGCCTTGCAACTCAGGTGCAGCTTTACCTTTGCATTAAGTGTTCCGTGACACTCAGAATCATAAGCGCTAACCTTGAAACGCAAGACTTTACTATTTCAAAGACCTTCCAGCCGTTTGACCAGCCCCTACCGCTCAGCCTCTTAAACAAGCTGCAATTCTTGTTTCTGTTTAAGCATTGCTCAGAATTTCAAAAAGCAGATTTGCAGGTTGGAAGCAAAGTCGTTTAGAAGACAAATGAACTCAACTGAATTCTCAGACGTCTCTGCACAATACTGCCCCCGGCCTGACGCCCCGCTTCCCAGCTCAAATGCAATTTCTTTGCTTGATATTGAATTGCATAATTGAGAAAAAGAAGATTCTCGGAAAATTGGATTCTGCAACTTTAGAGACCCAAAAGAGCTCACCTTCCATTCCCGATGTCTCTGCACAGCACCGGCCCTAGCTTTCCGCTCCTGCTTTTAGCTAAGTGGAACTCCCTTTTGCTTTCTGCACTCCGAAATTTCACAAAACATATTCAAATGTTGGAGAGATAAACTACATTGATCATGATAGCTCACCTTCCATTCCTCGACGTCTCTGCACAACACTGGCCCCCGGCGCCCTGCTTCCCAGCTCAACTGCAGTTCCTTTGCCTCGACCAACTCCCCCAGCAAAACCTGCCGATCGCGGACCATCCACAATGTGACCCCGCTCATTGCCAGAACCACCAACACGCAAAGGACCTGGGGAAAGACAACTAGAATGAGGCCACTTTCTTGGATGGCGTTGCATCAACTGGCATCAAACTAGAGCACAGCAACGCTCTGCTGACTCTCTGCGTGAGAGCCTTTCTCAGAGCTAGAGCAATAGTGGTTGAGGGGATCTGCAGTAAAGTGAGACGGGCCTGCTGTTGATGACGCGCAAAGTCGAGATGTCCGCAGCTACCTTACATGGTATGCTAAAGTAAAGACAATGCAGGTCAAGCGGAAACCTTGCTGGCAAGCTACGAAGCTGTGACCCTGCTTATACCTGCGCGTTGACCTATTGACAGCAGGGGTCAATATCAGGGTGTAAGCCTGCCAGCTTGCTTGCACAACACTGAAGCATGTACTCGCACTAACCACTCCTGCCTTGCAGAAACCCTTCTTTCAGCGTCACTCACCTGTAATCGCAACCGATCCACAAACCCTCTCCACCGGTCTCCCTGACTCAAGGTGTGTTTCAACGTGTGGAGGCCCGTTTTCAGATGGACTGGGATGCGAAATTTGGGACTTTCAAGAAAGCGGGGGGACATGGTCCCCGCTGGGACCTTCCGGGGGGTGAGATCGACCATGAAATGAGACCCCCCCTGCTTCTCCTCAAGCGCCCCCATGCTGCCGTCGCTGCAATCTGCTTTTGTGTGTCTGCTCTAGCAACCTGCTCTAACGTTGGTGTAGTCCAGTTTTACTGCTGAGTCAAAGAAGATCTGGCAATTGACTTCCCGAGCAGGCCAAGGGGTTATCGTACACTTGGTTTCTCACCCCAAGTTGCTCAAAGCTGCTTTCTCACCCGCTTCTGTTGTCTAAAACTCCCGTCTCCGTTTGCCAACTCATGATGGCGTTGTAGATCTAGAGGGCATGCTCAGTTTCCATAAGCGGCTTTTCATCGCTTATGCTTTTATGCATCAATCCTGTATGCTCGAATGCTTCAGAAGCTTGAAGCGTGCAGCACAGATGCCCGGCGCATGGTCCAAAAAGGAAACCTCCCTCGTATGCAGCAGCTCCCTCTTCCGTGTACAAATGTCGAAGCATTTATGGTGTTTTTAAAAGGCTCCCAATAACAAGTAGCTCAAATAGATCCTCCTGTCTCGCAATCCGATCCTCAGCAGGGATTCCTGACTGAATCTTACGTCGCTAGATTTCCACCTGCATTGCTTCTCTGCTGCTCTCTGAATCCAGAACTTCCTGTGAGGTCCGTTGCAAGCAGCGCAATGCGATTCCCAATGTTCAGAGCTCTACGTTGCAAAGGTAAAGCGTCGCGCTTTTCCGCAGCGCCTTGTTTGCTGGCACCAGCTCCTGAGCAAATGTGATGATGCACAATGTTCACTTCATTGTTCACACATTGACCTTTAAGCAGTAATCCAACCTTAGCCTAGGCGGTTGCTTCATAATGCAACTAGCGTATGGTCTCTTTCAATATCCTAGATGTACGGTATGTACCAGACGCTCAACGGCGGACTAGGACTAAGTCTCATTGTGATGTCCTCAGCTCTGCCTTTAGAAGGGCCTATAGGCTTATAGGCCTGTAGGCTTACATTTGACCTAGGTTCTAGTGTACATATCAAGGTCTTGCTCTATTAGGATCTAGGGTACCTATCATACGATAGACCTGTACTTGGTACTCCTGCAGTACATAGCCTGCAGCAGCAGCGCAGACCACGCGGCAGTACCTGCCAGGTACGCCACAGGCGCTTTTCGCCCGTATTCTGACACGTTTGCAACGGCTGACGCCATTGTGGTGCTTGGGGGGCGCGCGCACAGAGTAAAGTTTGTCCAATACGCTGTACGGCGGAGCTCCGATCTTCCACTGTAGGAACCCCGCCGAGACCCGGAAGCCCTACAGCGTTATCAGATTAGGTGCAGGCGCGGCGGTCAGCGGCCGCGCAGCCTGCGCGGAAACTTGGAACCATTGTACAAATAGGGGATCTACTGTGGGTCTAGTACTGTAGACTCCGAGTCCATGCAGTACTAATGTTGATCAAACGTAGTCAGTATCTAGGCACGAGTACAGGTGCCAGGTGGTACTACCTAGATACATACACCTAGTAGTAGTAATAGTACCGGTACATAGAAGATCGAACTTCTGCTCCATTGGAAAGGTCCTGGAAAGGTCATCTGTCCACAGGACGCTTTTTAGCTTCGACGAACCCAATGTTGTGAGCACTCTCTCGATGCAGAACTTTCAGCAGCAGGTGGTCCGGGTCAAGATTGCTGACCTTCAATGCGTAATGAAATAACATCGACTGAAAGAGCATAAGGGGAGGGCCAGTACTTGTCTCACTCTTCGATCATAGTATGCCTAGTAACTTGAATATCTGAACGAATAAAGTATCGATAGCAGGCGAGCATAGTATTAAGTTCCTGCGAATGCTGACCGCTCATTCTATAGTGGAGCCAAGTGACGCTCACAGCAACAGAACAGTCAGACCAGTAATATTGGGGCACAGAGATTGTGAGGTGCCCAGCAAGACGCTGTGCTTCACTGACGTGTTCAATGCAGGGACGTCTGTTTGTCTGTTCACTGCTGAATAAACCTAGAGCACACCTTTCGGGCTGAAGTTATAGACCAAACCTTCAGACAGCACTTGCAGCTATCACTTCAGGCCGTCAAGTTGGCCCTGAGACACTAGAGCTAGCCCCCTGTGTTGAACCTCTGAGTCGACACCATCTCAGATATTTCAGAGAGCGTTTTTCGTGTTTCTAATCGAGGTCATTATATAGGGGGCGGGAGCTGAAAACGGTAGGCTTCATAGCCCCTGATCTAGGGAAGGCGAGCGATGGCGTTTTGTAGAGGAAGGGATAGAAGGTCTTTGTCATCTGTCAGATGCGCGAGACTGCCCCAGTTTTGCTGCAGATCGAGGGACTTCTGGATGATTGGTCTGGTGGTGCTCCTGAGCGCTGCAGCAGGAAGCAAGCCAGTCGAGGCAAGCCCCGCGCGCCGCCTGCAAGTCCCAAGGGATGCGTTTCTACCAAGCATGGAAACACTTACACAGCCAATCAACCCGGAAGAGAGCTTGTCACAGGGGAATGTTGAGGTTAGCGTCAACAGTGTTGAGAGCAGCAAAGAATTGAGCCTGGCTGTAGAAGAGACGCATAGAAGCGCAGTAGTCAACGAGGAAACGCTTGTAAACACAGCCGTTGATAGAGGGCTGCCCGCGATCGCAGCCGTTGATGGGGAAGTGCCCACAAGCACAGCTGTTGATAACACGGTAGAAGCATTCCACCTAGAAGAGGAAACGACAGCTGCGCCTGCGGACGGCAGTATACCATTGCTTTCCTCAGAAACGTCTAGTCAAGAGCATCTCGAAGGCATAGCCTCTAGCGACGTCACAGTTGAGGGGACAAGTGATCTGACGCCCGCTGCAAAGTCCAAAATTTTTGCCGAGGTGGCAAGGGACGCGTCCGCCGATCCAGAGGCGAGTCAATCAGCTGTAGCGAACAGTCCAGACAGCCTTGACACAACGGGGGAAGCTGCGTTAACGCCTGAGCTGGCGGATGGCGCAACGGTGTCAGTACAGAAGGGGGAGAGCTCAGCTGGCGCCATCCAGGAGGAGCTCCAGGACCAGGTGAGAAGGTCGGGTTATAGCATGGTTAGTTTTTTACTTATCGTCGAAGGATACTAGTGTAAGCTGTTAGCTAAAACTCATGCATGGCCTACGAAAACGTATTCATCCAAGCTGTGGTACAGTCAAGGGCGCCTGAAGTGTTCGCCAGTGAGTGAGCAAATATAGAGGACTTTTAAAGCAAAGGCTTCGCAACCAGCTGATGAGCAACTGAACCCACATCGTTAAAAGGATAATGCTCAATGTATTCAAGAATGACGTCGCATGTTAATGCTGGCAGCAGCTTAACCTGGTTGAATGTGCTGGGCAGAAGAAACCGAAGAACTCATCAGATGCTCGATCTTCAGCACTCTCTTTGGACGGTCAAGTCCACTTCTTCATAACAGTCATCTAACACCAAAAAAGGTGAACCGCTGTGTGTTGTTATCTTCTGTGTCTTTTGAGCAGTCAAATGACGAGACCGTCTCGAACATCTTTGGCAGAGATGTAAGTTCCTATCTTGATAGCATGGCCGTTTCACCCGTCTCGAGATAGTCCTGGTCTGCATATAAGTCCCCGTTCTCATGCGCTGACTTGAAAGTTGTTCGGTAGGAGCTCAAGGCTGAAGAAACTGGTCCTCGAAAGTTCCGTCATACGAGCAGACGTCCTTTCGACGTGTTGCCCACTGAATGTTACAAGAAAACGCTGTCGGATTCTTTTGGCTTCCGGGATCACAACACCTTTTGGAGCAGAAGTCCTCCCCGGCGGAACGCGTTTTGAATTTCTCTTGGTCACTGATAGAGGTACCTCGCGCCCCTCGGTGGACGAAAGGAGTTGAGCCGAAAATCAATCCGCGCCCTTCTCAGTAAGGCCGCGTTGATGGTAGCCTTTCAGGAAAGCAGAATGTTGAATGGGAATTGTTGTTTCTGCTCTCGGAGGGAAAGCCGATCTTTGGTCAAACGGTGCCACGTTACCTCGTCGAAGTCGCTCCCCTGTGTGCAGCAAGGCATTCCGAACCCAATCGGGACCGCATCGAGACGACGTCTACGGCTTTGACAAAATGACTTTCGTACGGCGGCTCATTTTTCCATTATAAGCTCGCGCCCAGATGGGTCCGACACCACAAGGCAGAACCGTGCAAGAAAAGGCGCCCCCTTTTACCTCTTGCAGGACCTTTCCGCGAACAATCTCCAGATCAGCACTTCGTACAACGGCCCCTTCGACGAGGACGCGTTCACACTGGCCGAGGCAGAGGACGTCGAGGAGTGGGGTGAATTCTTGGTCGACGAGAAGATCGCGGAAGAGTTCCTCGGGAAGAACTGGCGCCAGCACTACGACGACATAAGCGCGGAGTTTCTGTTGTCCGAGGATGCGAACCGGGCCGAGTTGGCTGGTGTGAATACTCCACAAGAGGGCACTGGAAGTGGAGAAGGGACTGATGTGAATAGCCTCGGAGAAGCCGGGAGTAATGAGGATGTGGGTCGCCCGGGGGAACGGGTGACCCGGAGAGCGCTTTTGAGATTCAGGGACCGGTTGAGCGGAGGAAGCGAAGGAGGGAAGTAAGAAAACGAGTTGACGAAGTCGCGTAGGTCCGGAAACTTTCTGGTCAGAATGCCAGAGACGTTCGAAGCTGAGTCGCAGCCTCGATACATGCGTCACATGCGTGGAAACCTCGTCCATGATCCGTCCAAGGATGTATCAACTTGGCAAAGTCGGGGTATAGTGAAACGTCTTGCAGATGCGTCCCAAAGCTCTGGAGGTGTAGAAGGTTTCTGGATTAAATCGAAGCTGACTTTAACGGTCCGAGCAAGTCAGTGTGGAAAGCGGGGCGACGTCAGGCCCAATGGCGACGGAGCGAAGTTGCAAGCCAGCATAGCTGAGTATAGTCACTAAGCAGCGCCCAGGAGATAGACGGCGGCCGCCCAACCAATCAGGTATCGACGTGCTTATGTATGTAAAAATAATCTGCAATCGTGCAACGGTAAGTCTGCTTGTCAAGAATCCATGATGCCTTTCGAAACCGCTGATGAATAGCTATACTACAAGGCTGGTCAGCCTTGCCTCATTGTGTTTAGTAGCAGAGAGCCCACAAACGTCACGGCTGGTTCAGGGTCTGCCAATGACATACGTATACGGCCCTGAAACCACGTGCCTATAGTGAACCGCCGGGTGCGATGCCTCTTTCTGTTGCCATTTTCTCGACCAGAGGACCTCGTTTAAGAAGATGGCACTGGCCCGCTTGACTGGTGAAAGGGCAAGTTACAATTTCCCAGTCAAAAGACTTCCCTCATCGGCCCTGGAACCGAAATCTTGGCATCGGCAGTTTCCAATTTTTGAGACCAGGAATCTGGCATCTCTAAGGACTTTGGCATCTCTAACTTTCAGAAACTAAAAATCTGGCATCCAGAAGTTCTCCAAAATCTGAGAGCTTTTTCCAACATTTTAGAGGCTTATTTTTAGGAATCTGGCATTCTTGGATCTTAGGAATCTGGAATTTCAGCTTATTTGAGGCCCGCAATCTGGGATTTCCAAACCCAAAAAATGCCGGTTCCAGGGCCAACCCTCATGCTGAAAGTCGACATCATGGACAAGAGACTCTCAGAGCCTGAACTTCGAGGTGCAGTCAAAGTCCCAACATTGCTGACTTGACGGCGCGTTAAACGTACCGCGGAACTTAAAACTGGAAAATCGACAAGATTGCTGGACGTTTCAACGTTTGACTTATGGAAGAGACGTACCTCCGCACACTGCACTCGGTGCAGTGGTCGTACGTGAAAGGTTTCGATCACCTCGTCCGCATCAGATCATATCATGCAAAATGAGTTCGGGCGCCACATTGCAGATACCTGGCCCGGCCCGTTTAACTTTGACGCGCAACGACTCAAGATTATACGTCATACACTGGTCAATTCGGCTAGCTCTGGCCAGTAGTCGAAGGCTTCGATCAAAAGTGTCGTAAAGCTTTGATCATTGAGCGAACGGATCAAGTACAGGTGGCGGCGCTCCCATTGGCCCGGACATTGACTCAGCGACGCTTCCAATCTGACATGATTACTCATTCTGAGCGAAAATAGCGGCCGGCGAGACCAAGTGTCAATTCGAATACACTGTATCACCCACGAATCAGCCGGGACCAGCTATTTTCCCCACATTTTCCCCTGCCGGATCCGCATTTGTAGCAATAATTAAAGCAATTCCCTAGCAAGGTTCTGATCCCGTTCTGATATCAACCGAAGGGCCTGGGACCTGCAGGGGCGCCGAACTGTCAAAGTAAGGTGCAAGGGTATAGCTTACAATCATGTGCGCCAGCTGGCATCCTCGTGAGACACATGCAATGAGGGGACGTATCAATGACGCAAGGCATAATGAGAATTCGGTTATTTTCCATGTTATGGACCAAGAAGTGCAGCTTGTGAATTGGGAGCTGCCAGTACGCGCTTTCCTCGCTATTAAATCGATTTGAAGGTGGTTGGAAGTTGAAACACGTCCAGACTGTTGAACTGGAACTTCCCCGGCGGGCCGACTGCTATGCATGCGGCCGGAGGCGCGATGACGTCGCGGCCGCGTCACCATCCTAGTTGCTCAGTTCCCGGCTTTCTGCGCGGCCGCGCTGGCCGGCAGCACGGTTCAATTGCATGACCGTATGATGACGCCGTACGGCACGGCCGCCCGAGGTTTTAGGCGGTTTTGTGCATGCATGGTTTGCGCAACGTACCGGTACGATGAGATTCGTGAATTTCATAAACTGAACTGACGACGTCAAAAGTGGGAAGTACATCTGGGAAAGCGTATTCAAGCCGTCCGATCGACCATCGGTGAGCTTTTATGACGTCGCCCTGCTTTTTGAGATCCTCCGGCAGTTGCGGAATCTCTAATTTGAACCTCAGGGCCCCAGGCAGTTGTAAATGACGACGAATCATTGGGCGCGTGTCAGACTCTTGCACAGCAGTGAGCACTGGTAAAATTCTTCCCTATGTGAGGCTATATCACCTCTTTTTAACAGGCAAGTGTCGCAAGATTTGGGTAATCGGGGTGCTTGAAACAAGCCCTAACCCAAATGCTTTAACGTGCTCTTAGTACCGGGCCCAGCCGACGAGAGCCAAACTATAATTCTAACCCTTCCCGTCTCCCGGGCATATCTAAGGTCAGACGGCACTTTTAAAAGTACGTTCCACGAGAGTCGAGAGTGTTCCGATTCCTCTGCCTCTGCCAGGCTGTCTGAGCCTGTCTCAGTCTGGCCGGGCAGGGTTTGCAGATTGTTGAGCAGATTGCAGGCTGTCGGTTGTTGCCATGTCGGTGAACATTGTCTCCGTTCAGTGCGAAATGGTTTCTTCTTGAAAGCCCTCAAGCTTTGACTTCAAGTTCAAGGAGAGCTCTCGAAATTTTGCCGGATGGCAGCTCTGAACCAGCTGGAGCTGCTGAACAGGCAAAGTGCCCGTTTGAGACGAGGAGCCGGCAAGGGAAACCTTTTTCCCCAGCTTGCAGTTGATTACATCGTAGACAGGAAAGCTTTGAGAAGGATCGGCTGGGCACAGCAAGGATCTGTCAAACGGGTTAGTGATCCAGGCTGCATTTGCAATGCTACACACTGGAGGAGTTTCTGAAGCATGTAGATAGTGACATCTGGCAGCAAATTCTAACGAAAGCTGAGTGTGTACACGTGACACGACGATATCAAGAATCGCTTTTGTTCAAAGGCAGGGGCTCCATTATCACAATAAACCCCAACATCTGTCGCACTCCGCATAAAGTATCTTCCAAACCACCGTGTTTTTCCCTGAACAACCATGGTTCCTAAAGTAAGCATCGCAGCTTTGATTCTTGTCCTCGTCACAAGTCTCTTTGGCCCAGCAAGCACGTTGCCAAACCGGGAGCTCCTAGCCGACGTTAGCTTCCCCACGGGCAGCGCACCCAGTCTCCTCTCCACCAACGCTTTCCAGTCTGCATCGGGACCTCCCTACTCTCTCTACCCCAGTGTCCCCGCATTGTTTTCCTTCGGTGATGGGGGCCAAGATGTTGGAAACGTGCTTTACCTGGGACATGACAACTCAACCAAGCATTACCCCTTTGGGACCAGCTTCTACAACCTGACGGGGCGGTTCAGCGACGGCCGCGTTTTTGCAGATTTCTTCGGTAAGTCCGTACTTGGATCACTCTTCATGATCATCTTTGACTTGTGCTTAGAAGGCTGACCTTCTGTGTGGTTGGGAGTGGACTCAGGTTGTGGACGGTTTGAATTGCCTTCCGACTTTCTTACTGACTGCGGTGCCAGCGGATTCTCGCCTCTTTCTCTGCTCTTCCTTGTATTTCTGCCACAATCTGCAAAAAGTATTCAAACATTGGCGAATGAAGCGAGTTCAGGATTTGGACGTTCTTCTGCAACTGTTTATTGAGCTGGAAACCGTTCCTCTTTTTGGATGTCTTTCTGGATTTTGCAGCGTTCCTGTTTGTTTTCAAGTTCTGAGGAAGTTTCATTTGCTCCAATTTAAACTCCTCTGGAAGGTTCGTCTAATGTGACTTTTGGACTGGGCGAAAAAGAGAGACACTCCACACATTTGGAATTCTTTTCATCTGGTACAAATGTCATTGCGTTGCAGAGCACCATTTATGAAGCAATGCGCAGAATGTGAATTCTCAAGCGAGCAGATTCAGGTGGTTCGAGCTCCCTCTTTCGCATCGCTGGCTTTAGCAAAATGCCCCTTTTGCACGAGCTGTCCCGAAGTCTGGATCATACCAAGTTCTCTGTTTGACTGCTCCCCAGGGTTTGCCTCCTGGTTTTGTTCTCACTTCCCCCTACAAAGTCAATCTTGATGCACAGAAGTTTGAGCATCAGGCGCGTTTGCTCTTGAACTTGCAGACAAGGTCGTTGATCTTTGTGGAACCAGCAGCGCACTAGAGACTCAACTGCAATGATGTTTGAAGTTTTTGGGAAATTGAGGACTGTACTGAGGTCCTCAAGTTGCTGCCTTTGCCAAAGCTTGTCCTGCGGAGATTGTCAACCTACCTAAGCTTCCTTTTCTTGCCAACATTCTCCACATGCACCTCAGAATATCAGCTGGTCTTGGTTAGCTGCCTCGCTGAAGCACAACCTACTCCTTGCAAGTACTCCGAATGTGTTGCAGGTACTCCGAATGTAACCAAGACAAATCCTCAAAGAAACCCTGACACAAATTTGCACATTCTGACTGCAAGCGCTAGCACGTCCTTAACTTTGACACAGGATCAAGCATGTAATATCGCCGTGTTGCGCGTCCAACAATAAAAGGGGAAAAGAGCGAAGGGTTGCAGACCCTCATACAGGTGGTCCATTCCGTGTATTATAAGAGACTCTGTTAAAACATGAGACCTCTAAGCCAGAGCACGACTCAAGTGCAAAGCAAACGCGGCTTTCCATTTCTCACAAAATCTGGCTCCCTTACGGATCGAGTCGATCCGCCTCTCCTTCACCTTCAGCCCATCCTCTTGCCCTGATCTTCAAGCTTGATACTCGCAAGATCCAAAGCAGGTCTCTTTTTTAACCAGTTGCTCAGCAAAGGACTCGCCGTTGTTTGCGGCATCACAGCTTTCTTTCAAGCCGAGACGTGCTCCTGACGATTGCTCCTGAGAGACCTGAGCCAATTTGTCCTACATTGTGAAGCAAGCAAAAGGAAAGTCTGATTGACAAATTGTTCTCCTCCCCTTGCAGCGCAAGCATTGGGCCTGCCTTTCCTGACGCCCAGCCTCACGCCGAACGGAAACTTTTACCAAGGCGCCAGCTTTGCCTCTGCCTCCAGCGGCCGTTTCAATGACACCGGGGACTCGGACGGCTTCCGAGGGATCCCTCTCCTCAAGCAGGTAAGAAGCCTGCATGACATAGTTTTGCGCTCTCATCCGGGGTTTAGCGGTTCCGAACGTGGACATCGACGTGCATTCAATTGGGGGGGATCCAGCTGAGGCGTGGAGATGGGTTCATTCGGTTCATCCATTTGGTTCATCCATTCTGTTCATTTTGTTCATTAATGCAATTACTTCGTTCAAAGGGTTGCCGATCGCTGCCCCCAAAAAAACACCTCCTTCAGCAATCCTGTGCAAGATGCATCAAACATTGTGATCTTCCTTTGTATTAGGGAGTCCCACCTCAAGCGGATTGGAGAAAATTGGCGTCGTAACTAGCATGTCAGGTCGTTCCACTGTAGATTCGCCTGGACGTTTGCCCCAGCGTAGAGACGGGATATCGGAAGTTTCACTGTGCGTCGTCAGCATATGCTCTCTTGAATGCGTTCTTTCTCCTAATCAAGTTTCCACAAAACCCTATGGTTCATTTTGTTGTCTGCCAGTTCCCTGACTGTGTTGCCGTCAATGACTACACATCTGGTCGTCCATTTGACATGGTTGCAGAATCTTTCTCTGTAGCGCTTTGCTCCCCAAAGTGCTTGCAAGCTTCATGATCTGAACACCGCTCAATGTGGAGATCTCCCTTTACAAATCTTCCTTTCGTTTCATTCTCTGGCAGCGGGGAGAGCCCATCAATCACGTTTGACCACAGTCTGTGCTTCTAAGACCTCCGTGAATCTTCCTCCCCCCTCACAGGTCGACAACTTTATCCAGTTCCAAGCAGATGCGAGAGCCTACTGGGCAGGTTTCAACTCGACCTACCCCCCCGAAAGGATCCCCCGTTACCCGATGCCGGAGTTTTTCAGCCGGGCGATTTACATGGTCCAGTCAGGGGGAAACGACCTTCTGAATTTCAGGAATCAGGGCTTGACACCAGCGGACATCCCTGCTTTCGCTACAAACATGACGGCCGTCTACGAAACTTTCGTGCGGGTAAGCCTTCTGCCTCGCTCATGATTGGAGGCGTTTATAGAAAGCCCGCTGTGAGATGTGGGAAGTCGGGCGCTTGGGGAAAAGTGCGTTTCGAACTTAACATCAGGGAACACGTTTGCAATTTGCTTGATGCATCTGCAGTATGAAGAGCTTTGCTTTATGTGTCCGCAGTCATTGAGGCTCTTCAACCCCGCAACGTCCTGACCACTGTCTCGGAATCTACGTGTTGAAGCTTTTTCCTTTCGGAAAAGTTGTTGACTATTCCGAGGTTTGGTGCGTTTGAACACTCCTCTTAAGCTGACTCCGGCGAAACCTCGCAGACAACTTCGAACATGACGTGTGGTGCTTGGTCTGGTTCTAGAGCTTGGCGGACAGCTGCGCATTCGAAGCAGACTGGACTTACGCGCAGATTTATGCTGAGATGGAGCGGTTTGATTGAGTCCTCGCTTTTGACGCGCTTAGAGCTGCTGCTGTTCTGGCAAAGCTCCATAGACCATAAGCACAGTACGAGATCGTCGAGCGACACCTCTGAAAGGAGTTTGATGGACACATTGCAGTCGGACTGTACGGATCAACCCTGCGGTCTACTGTGGTCTACTGAATTCAAGTAACTCCTTTATAGGCGTTTGTAGGGTACTTGTCAGATAAAGCCTATTCAGATGTATGCTTGCCGAATCCACACTGATCATTTTTGATTGCCCCCCTGCATTCGAGAGCTGGCAATTCTCTGGTCACAGTGGTTGGGCTCAACTGGAAACCCGTTCTGGACTCAAAAAAGAACGTTCGGAACCGGAACCCAAATCAATTCTTATCTCTTGCTCCTTTGCAGGCGCTAAATGCAACGTTAGCCCGCAAGTACGTCGTTACAATGCTGGCCTGAGCTGGAAACCTGGTTCGGTTCTTCTCTTTTCCCCCCTTAACCCGCAAAACAAACCCACTTTGATTATAAACGCTTGCTCCCCTGCAGGCGCTTTATGCAACGGGAGCCCGCAAGTTCTTCATCATGAACATCGGCCTCTTTGGCTGCACCCCACTCTCCATACGCAACAACAACGGTTCCTGCGGGTGAGTTTTCTTGCTGAATCAGCCGAGCTCTTAATTTCGTCATCGCTGGCCTTCCTTTGTGCTCTCATCTTGCTGTGCAAGGTCTCCTTGGTTCGATCTCCTAGGACTCAATGCGGGTCCCCTTGTCTAGGGCCGCCCGCTTCCCTGTGCTTCTTTTCGGTGCTTCGTCTCAGCGTGAATAATGAATCACTTTGTTACTGCGCTGCAGTTGTTCTGTTGGTGTCCTTCTCTTGTGCTTCCTTCTTCTGTTCCTTGGGTCCGGATTTGTTCACCCTCCATCTTGCTTCGGGGTTGTGTTCAATTTTGTTTGAAATCTGATCAGTCCGTGCTTGGTTTTGCTTTGGATCACAATTTTCATTCTACGCTTCGTCTCCGCCCCTCGCTTCGCTCTGTGCTCCCTTCAATTGGCTCCGAATGCATTGGTTCTGCTCGTCTCAGGACCGCTCCGCCTTTGCTTCAAGGTTGCTTCTATCTGCTATGCTTTGGTATGAGCGAATGGTTCCGCTTTGCCGGCATAGCGCTCTCGCTTTGTCCGCTACCTCAGTACTCGTGTTCGCTCCCCTACTTCGCCGTTCTTGACATGTTGGCGTTTCGTTGGTCCACCTAGCAAATCAGTCGTCAACTAGGATTCTGAAAGCTGGAGTTATGGTGTCAAAGAAACAAACGGGCTCGTGGTATACGTAGTGTTTGACAGCCAACTATCAGGAAAGGAAGCTGGTTGGTCGTGAATGGAGACAAAAAGTTAGTCATTGTCTGTAACAGATACAGAATGTTATTCACCAAAAATCCTGACACTTGCGGAGAAATGTGCATTGGTCATACATGCCAGTAGCTGCTTCTAGCAAGCTGCTACATGCTCTGTGCGTCGGTAGACAATCTCGGCAAGGTCTTTCCAGTCGCAGAAGCCCAAATAGACTACACGATTTCTGCACCATGCCGAAAGGCAGGAAACTAGCTGGGTTTGCTAAAGAACAGTATACGGGAATTTTAACCTCGGTTCAAAGAGCAGGAAATTGGTGGTTATTCTCCCGTCCAACCGACCAAACACGTCTTTCGAACAAGAGTCAAAGACTGGTTTCTTGAAACCCGCTTTCTTTGCAGGGTTCTTACCAACGCGCTCTGTTCGAACATCGTCAACCAGACGACGGCGCTCAACTCTCGGCTGTCGACACAGCTCCTCAACTCCAGCTTCGTCCAGGGGGACTTTTACCAGTTTAATCTGGACGTTTTCAACAACCCGGCCGCGTTTGGTGAGCCGAAAGGCAAATGCTTTGCGCCTTCTTCCGCATACAGTGTCAACAAAGTGATTCAGAGTATGGCAGTTTATGCTTGTGTACCAAAAACGAGGACGCACGTAACAAGCTCTGGTCATCCGGCAGGAGATTGGCTGGCTCCTGCCTTGACGTACGCTTTCGGAAGCTGCCCTGCAAATGGTCGTTAAATGCGTGTAGGTTTTGCCACTTTTCTTGCCTTGAAAGTCGACGAGTCTACGTCACAATGTTTCAAAGCAGCACACAATCTGTCGCCTTCGTTAAGCCGATAGGAAAGCCGCATCCTGCACACTTGACAAAACATTGGACATGAAACGAGTCTATTCATTGGTGCCAGTTCAAGTTCAGAACAATCTATCGATAGGCCAAAGGGAGTGTACGTAGTAGTGCCATCTCGATCCGTTCTCATTGTCGACTCTCAGCCTGCAAGTGTTGAGTAATGATCGGTGTCGGCCTTTCTTTCGTTCTGCAGGGGTGGTAAACGCAACTGGGGCGTGTTGCGGGTCAACTACGTTATCGGTGGGTTACCGACCACGGGTCAAGCTTTAACTGGTTTTCGCTGCATTGCCGTGGTGAAGTAAGCACGGGAGCGATTCGCGAATGTCGATCGCCGCACCCGGATTATCCCCAGTTTCGTGTGCAAGTTTCCTGCAGATTCCCCGGGAACTGGGCTTGTGCTTTTGAAAGGAGTGTCTGGAAGAATGTTTGGCTGACTCCACGCATCCCATAATGTCTTGTTGGCCACCGGAACGTTGCCGCTGCTACACGCATCCACTGTTACAAAAAAAGCGTTGGTCAAATGAAAAAGGGGGCGTCAGGCGACCATCTAGCTGAGCCTCCGCTCTCTCAGCCGCTCAAAACGGCACGTCTGATAAATTCGTAACGAGACTAAGTCACCTTTCGAGTAGGTTTGTGTTGCCGCAGAGCCACTTACGAAGAAGAACGCCTTCTTTAACCCTGCCCATAAGCCCTTGAAGAAGCTTGTTTTGGAGCAACTTCCACAATGCTGTCATTCGACGAAGTCGCTCATGTTTTCGTCATCTCTTTGCAGTGCCCTCAGTTGGCGCTCGCGCTTGCGAACACCACGGCCCCCTACAACGGGCCCGTGCCTCTCTGTCCGGTGAGTGGCCGGAACACCAACGGAAACGGAATCCTTGTTCTGCCAGAACGCCAGCTGCCACGGAATCTCTGTCGGGGATCAACTCTTATACAACAGAACTTGGGCACACTTGAATCCAGCATCAAGTGAGATGGAACCATCTGGATAAGGATCGCCTTCATATACAAATAAATATGACGAACGACTGTCCTTTAAGCGGTCTCATCTCGCACTGACAACGCCTTTGCCGATCTTACGCTGCAGAATCCAAAGGAGTACCTCTACTGGGACACGACACACATGTCAGGTGAGCCCGCATGTTCCGAGCGGGAATTATGCTCGTATCTTCGCAATTGATTCGATCAAACCTAAATTTGTCAGGATTGGGAGGTGAAAGCTTTGGGACGTTGTTTCTGCCGTTCTGGTCCTCTGTTTGATATGTTTACTGGCCATTTAAGCTGGATTCTGCAAGTCAACCTCGATTCTGTCGATCTGCACATCTCTTTCTGACGTGCTTCGATCAACAAAGAGTAGCCAGTCAACGTTCAGGCTTCAGGCTATAAGACGGAGTAGCCGCTTAAGCCTCTCAAGCGTTTCGTTCCTTCTAAGCAGCAGTCAACTTCAGAGATATTCCTCACGAAACTTGCAGTACTTTGCTGACTGCTCGAGCCAGCACCGTGGTTGACAAAACCGGTCCCATCCTGTGTCACGTTCTGCTTTGACGGACATCTTGATGAAACGTGTGGTGGGCAATATCAAGGTCAACATTAATCACCCGCCATTCTTGAAGTCTTGCCATCATTTGTGCAATGATGGTACTTGGGAAGCGTCTTGTGCAAATGTAGCTTTTTGGGCGCTTTTGAATTTGCGAGGCATTGCCATCTGGTAGTCTGAAGGTTCTTACTCGTTATCTTTACAGAGTCGATGACCCGAATCCTAGCTCACGACATCTTTGGAGGGTCCAAGTACGGGAAGCCAAAGAACATGTTGCAGACCTTCATTCTTCCCGACTTGCTAAATCTCCAGTAATCAACACGCTCGGTCTCACATAATCGCCTTACGAAGGCGTGCAACCAAACAAGTGGTGTCGCCGCGTTGACTGATTGGTTGCAAGTCATGCACATAGTGTCAAGCGTAGTGAGTATAACTTGTGTCGGGCGGTAAGAAACATGAGTCAAGCAGAAAGGTTGTCTAAATATTTGAAAGGGGTGAAGGTGGGTGTTAAGAAAGGCACGCTAGATATCGATCGGTGGTATTATTAGCGAGGTCAGGCAAATCTTCCGTAGTAGAGCGGCCACTTTGCGCGTGCTGCGCCTAATTCCTCAGCAAGTTGATAGTATACTAACTTAAGACGGTTGCATGTAGTAAGCCTGGTGAACCCTGATGTTGCGTGCGCTTCATGCAAGATCTACATGTTGGAACATGGTCGATTGCATTTCGAAATACATGTTGGGCTTGATCAGTGGGCGGCAAATCTTTGGCAGAGTTCATGCACATGTTCAGTTTACAATATACATCCACCTCCGATCCCGTATTAGACCGGACATTGGAAGACAATTGGGCACGGCAGATTGAGCTTGCATGACACGCCACATGTGAGAGCACGTTTTGAACATGCTCGGAGCTGGACGCTAGACCCTGGCATATCTTGTTTATTGCTAAATCTTGCCCGGCTTGTGAGCCGAACTTGAAAATTGCATTCAAGGATCCGTGACGTTGAAGCCTTTATACAATTTGGCCAGCACTGCCGGCCCTGGCATATTTACCAGTTGGGTGGGAGGTTAGTAATACTAATATAAAACGGCTGAAGAGTCCGACGCTGGTACCGACGTGGCACCCCGCGCAACGAGAGCTGCCCGGTTCAGCCGTTGCTACCGCGGGGCTGGCCGTCCCGGGCTCGATCCTGGGGCGATTAATCTGTTGAGCTGCCAAATTACGTAGTAGTAATATGTCTTCGATCCGGCCGGCCGCCGGACCAGCTCACCGGGGCTCTGTACCCGGGGCGCGCCGGGCGGCCTGCTCGGGCGCAGCAGATCTTGGGATCCGGCAGGTAATGTACCATGTGCCCGCTCGAATATCAGAAGCTCGTGACCTGGCATGTCTTAAGCACGTCGAATCAGGGATGGCCGGGTGGCAAAGTGCGGGGAATCTTCTAACTGCCGAACTTCCAGCTGACACCAGCTTTAACCGCCAAAACGCACCGGGTACGTACCCGGGGTCGATACCGCTCGTAACCGCCAGCAATTTGGCAGTAGTACGGTACGTACTCGTCGAAACAAAGCTACCTGTGCGCGAGCACGGTGTCAGCCTAAATCCAGGTTCACTGCAACTTGACACACCCGCCGAGAGTGCCGTGCCTGATCTTGTATCATACAATGTACCGTAGAGACATTGTCCATTCGCACTAAAATAATCCATTTTCAGGCGTAGCGAAAAAAATAAAATTATGGAGAGGTGCAGGTGCGAAAATGCGAAACTAAGGAAAAACTTGTTGAGACCCGATTCACTAGCACAACAAGGCAAAAAACGCCTAGAAACGGCTACTGCGAAAATTTTGTTATTATCGTCGAACCTGGTGCGGAATGAAAAATCTTTCATAAATGATTATTCGCACCAAGGTGGTGCGAATGGACAATGTCTCTACGGTATGCTCGTGTGTACGCGTGCGACGTGTACTGTGTACACCTAGGTACTCGTGTGTACCGGTACTCAGTTTACTTATACCGTACACGAATTGCATACCGTGCGGCATGCGCACTTTGAATGGAAACCGAGAGTCACGGACGAAGTCAGGAGGGGGTCAATTTTCAAAAGCTTTGGTAGGGTGAACCTGGGCCATTTTGCTGGCTGTGGCTGCATGGACGGGGAGTCGAACAACGATGGTTGATGCCTGGACACCTGGACAGCTCAAAGGGGACACCGTTGGTGGTGGTTAGACCGCTCTAATGGCGGCGCGAAGGGATTTGTGATAGGGCGTGCCGAACGGGGGTTTGGCTCTCTGCTTCTCTGTGGCCATATGGTATTTGGGAGATGCTTCAAGGCGAGGGACGGTGGCGGTTTCAGGTTGGTGACCCATTGCTCGTTATGTATCTTCTTCTCTCCGGCTTGTCTTTGCATGCCAAAGTCTGTGTTTGGGTGCTGGTCTTTCTTAGGCATGGGTGTTTGGGTTGCTGGTCATGGGAAGGGGCACCTTTTCCATGGGGCAGGTGCGGAAAGAAAGGGCCTGGGTGGTCTTCTTGAGCTGTAGCAGACACCAAGGACTAAGGTTCTTTGCAAGTCATTCTGAAAGAAGGGCCGTGAGGGAAAGTGGTACCAACTGCGCTGCTTGTTGGATGGACTGATGAGCATCAGGGCACCGGTGCTTTGGGAACTGTTGAAGCAGTTGAAAAGCTCCTGTCGGCTCTTCGCAGCTTTCCAGAGCTGGCCGTTTTTGACTTTGAATGCGTATGCGCGGTAGAATCGCGACTTTCTATTAGCTGCATGCTGCTGTTTGCATTCCGTGTGTTTGCCTTTGGCTGCTTAACATTATGCGCTTGTCATTCGACCAAGCGACCGAGTTTTGGCATGGGTCAGAGTTTCCTGATATGGTCACTGTGTCTTGCTGCACTCTCCTGAATGTCCTTTGCACTTTGAGGATTGATTGGCTCCTCTATTCAATGTTTGGAAGTGTACCGTTCTTCCGGCACCAGGTACAGCTACCGGTTTGAGAAAGCAGTTCTATAAAATAGTCATATGTAGAAATGATGAGGGTCTTCGTTTGGTTGGTTGGATTGACCTTCTCAGCTAAAAGCGACACTTGGCCTCTGATATCAGCATGGTGTGTCCGAGGCCAACCAAAGAAACGGGCTGATAATAGCTTATCTGAACCAAGATTAAAGCATGAGGGAGTTGCTCCATTTGATCGTGGAAAACACCGCAAAGAAGAGGAGGGTGCAAGGTTCTCAGGTGGCACAATTCGAGTGCTCTTTTGATCATTGTTTCAACTGGCAGTTGATGAAAATGCCACAGGCAACCAGCGATTGAGGCTTGACCAACAGTGGTCTGTGTTTTCTTTTGCAGGACAATACGGGGAGATATTGGCACCCCTTGCTAGATTTCAGGACAACCGCTGTGTCGTACAAGTGCGCTGTAGTCATTCTGGTATTGAGCTGAGGTCACTGTCTAAGGCGGTTGTTCTGCAGCTGCTAAACACTGGTGCAAACTCTGGTTCAAACCTTGGTTTCAACCCCTTGACAACCTTACACCGTAGGGCGCCGAATACTGGCGCAGAAACTAAAAGACGGTCAGCCCAGCATTTAAGATTGGTTGAGCAAATTATGATGAACAGCTGATCAAACTTTAGTTTAACCCAGCGGTCAACCTTGTTAATCAGGGATGCCGCCAGCTCAGATGAACGGCGCCGGGGGTGGCCCTAGCAAGGCTTATGCATTGGTGTTGAATCGAGTGGGGACGGAAACTTCCAATAGGCGGAAAGCGCGGTCAGATATCAGTGTAGGCAGCCAGGAGGCTATGGTAGGCGCTCAGGAAGGTGCGATTGGAGCTCAAAGTGGTCGCATAGCAGATGGGCGCGGAGCAATAGGAGCTCGTGACGAAGAGGCGGGCGGGGCAGCTTCGGGGGGGGCGCCGCGGGCAGAGAATGGCTGGGCGGAAGAAACCCCCAGAGCGTGGCGGAAGGGGGTTTCAAGAATAAGGGGGGGGGCACCAAACGCAGGCGCCTGCGGTTTGGGTTACAGTGAGGCGGAGAGCCTGAGTGATATTGCCTCCTCTCAGAAAGAGGATCGGGGTGTAGATGCAGCTTCCAGTCAGAAACGGGAGGCAAGAGCAGAGACGACTTCCAATCGGAATGGAGGAGGGCCTTTAGAAGGCCTCTCCAGTCAGAAAGGGGCGTTGGGGTTAGAGATGACTTCCATTCAAGAGGTGAGACGGGGAGTAGAAAGGGGCGGGGGTCAGAAACCAGTTAAAATAGTAGAGAACTTAACCAGTCAGAACCCAGAAAGAGGACCAGATTCCCCGTCTAATCAAAAAGAGGGGGCCAGTCCAGATATTCGCACAGACGCAAGAACTTCCAGGCTAGCCGACAGTCAAGTCAACCAGCCTAGCCCACTGGTCGAGCTCTCAGACAGCGCCACCTGTCAGTCTGTTGCTGGTTCCGACTCGGACGAGACCCCCCGGCCGCGGAGCGGGGAGAAAGCCTCAACGTCCGAGCACTCGTTTTCCGGGCCCGAGAGCATGGACTACGGGCGGCCAACGAGAAGGGGGGGGCGACACAAGCTCCGGTTTCTGGGGGCAGTAAAGCAGCGGATCAAGCGCGCGTTCTCGTTCTCGCTCCCGCGTGCGGCGGCGCTCGACGAAGTGCTCTGCGGGTTGCAAGAAGCAAACGGGGGGCAGCCGGTCCCCGAGGTCCTGAAAGGGGACATCCGCGAGCATTATGAGAAGCTGCCGGTCGCGTACGCCGAGGCGATCTTCCCCCCCGACGAGGTTTTGCTCCACATGCGTTTGTTGCACGAGGCTGCGCAGCACCCCGAAAGCGCGCCCCTCTTACATTTGTCCTCGTTCCAGACCTACTCGGGCTTCCTTTCCCTCCTCTCGTCAAAGAAAGCCAGGAAGCAGTTGAACCGGCGGGCAGCTTCCATGACTCTCGAGCGGCGGGCGCCGAACCGAAACCTCTCACTTAATGACCTGGTTAGTGCTAACCAATCCCTGGGGGCCGGGGTTTCGTCGGAGTCGCCTTCGGAGAGCGGCTTCTCTCCGTCAGAGGCGTCGGTAACGTCAACCGAGGAGGACTTTTTGACGGATGACGTCAGCTGCGAGACCGTGATGCACTCGGTTGTGTACGCTGACGTCAGCCCGGTCAACGCGGAGGAGCTGACGGGAGTGCTTCGGAAACGGGGGCTGAAAGTGAAGAAAGCGAAGGCTTTCCCGGTCGCAGGGGGCGCGACGCTCGGGATGCTCCTCCTCAAAGGGGGCGTGGCGCACGATCTCCGTGCGACGATTCGAGGGGGGTTTGCGGAAGCGCGCGAGCTGTCGAAACCTAAGCTGAAACTGACGATCCCGCACCCCCCAGGGATGGATTCACTAACCCACGTGTTGAAACAAGGGTTTGGGCGCACGGCGAGCACCGGCCGGTTGGCGGCGGGGGGGAGCGACTCCCCTCGGTGGGACTTTGGAGAGATTGAGCAGTGGATCTCTGAGTCTGGGTTAGAGGGGGGGTCAGTGGAGGAAGAAACGGAGAAGACGGTCAAGGGGATCGAAAACATGATGTCGGGGAAGGGGCCAATGGGGTGCTGGCTGCTGGACCAGAAGCAGTTACAGGTGCGGAACAAACTCTTTTCTTAGGCCGGATTTCAGAAAAATTGTGCGGATCTTACTGAATGGATTCTGTCAAGCTTACTGAATGGAGACTGTCAAGTTTTGTGGGTTTCTGATAATTGGGTGTTCTGGGGAAAGTTGGGAACGGGACAGCTGGAAGCTATTTGTTACTGAGATGTTGTTGCCGATGCACTGAATAGTGTGCATCAAAAATTCAAAGAGGTGCGCTTCTGAGCAGAGGCAAACAACCGAGATTACGGGCGGGCGGCAATCAGTGTTTCAACGAGGAAAGGTTCTATTAAATGGTCTTTCCAACGATCTCACAAAGGGTCGAAACGTCAAGTCTACTTGGGAACAAAGCTGGTGATGTCAGATGTGATAAAGACAAGCTTGTACCCTCCCTTCAACGACACTAAACTTCTTAGCTGCACTTGTTTTGCAGATGGGGGAGAAATTCGCGGACGGAGCATCGGGGGAGGTGTACCGGGCCGTGTATAAGGGGGAGGAGGTCGCGGTGAAGGTGCTCCGGGGGCGCTTCGGCAGCTCGGCCCAGGTAAGACATCCGGTTACTCTGCTGTGAGACCCTCGGATCAATTGTTGCGTGATACCCCCGCCGTCTTGTTGGTCCGACTCATTTGGTCAAGCCTCGTCGTTGCTTTGCAACGAGGTGCTTCGGAGTCGTTTTCGTGGTCGGATCGTCAAACTGTTACTTGTCTGCTGTTGACAGCCCTTCTTTGATTCGGACTGGGACAGATTCTCCAGATTATTGAGACCCATTCTGGCCCACTTTTCGCGCTTGAGTTTGTCGTCCCGCTTTGATATTGCGGGCGTCTTTCGAGGGTATAGACTGCACCTGAGAACATTGCTGGAAGTGGCTCGAGGGGCTCTCCACCTGTTTGGTGCTCAGCCTTCACCTGGCAAGAAGTGGCGTCCTCAGCTTGGTTTACCATAAACCTCGCCCTTAACCCATTGTCACCCCATTCATCTCTGCACCCCTTCTTGCTGGTCAAATGCCTCCGAGTCAGTTCCAAGCCGTTCCCCAGGGCAAGACCTCGACGAAGTTCCAGCAAGAAGTGGCGGCCGTCAGTCTTGGCCACCGCAAGACCCACCTTCAATCCGTAATCTTCCTTAATCCCTTCTACTACTACTACTACTACTACTACTACTACTACTACTTCTTCTTCTAATCCCTTCTAACTCGTTTGACAACCGACTTTCAGGGCAAGACCGCAATGAAGTTCCTTCAGGAGGTGGCGGCCCCATCTTGGGCACTAAATAAATGGCCCTTAGCCCACCTTAACCGTGTCAACTCCTAGTTCCTAGACCCTTCTTGTTAAGTGAACCCAACTAAACCCAGTTGAAACCCACTTTTCAGGGCAAGACCGCAATGGAGTTCCGGCGAGAAGTGGCGGCCCTCAGTCCCGGGCACCACAAGCCCCGCCCCTTGACCCACCTTAACCCTCCTCAACCCGTTTTCACTAACCCGTTTTCAAATCCACCTTTCAGGGCAAAACCGCAATGGAGTTCCGGCGAGAAGTGGCGGCGCTCAGTCTCGGGCACCACAAGAACCTGCTCCCGTTCTACGGGGTTTGCATGGAGGGCAAACAGCTGTGCATCGTAACCAAGTTCATGGCCGGCGGAAACCTGGCGGACTATCTGGCGAAGCACGGGCCGCTCCCAATGCCGATGCTGCTGCAAGTGGCGCGCGATGTTGCGGAGGGGATGCGATGTCTTCACAAAAATGGCGTCATTCACCGGTAAGTTTTGAGTTTAGAGATTCGGGTCTCGTTTCTTCAGAGTTTTTGTGGGGTATTGGAGCTTATATTCAGCTAGAGAGCAAACATAGGGTTGTCTGGGGAAGCACGGGCCAGTCCTGATGCCAATGCTGTTGCAAGTGCATGCGACATGGCCAAGGGGAGGCGCTGCTTCCAGGAATTTTAAAACGGTGCAGATCCTTCTGGACGCCGACGGCACCGCAGAGGTCGCCGACTTCTGCGTTGCGCGGGTCCGCTTCGAGAAGGACAAACTGCTGATGGTTTACTTTCTCTCTTCCTAAATCGCATCTTAACCCGCTTCGTTACTTCTGCAGGGACCTCAAAACCGCGAACATCCTTCTAGACGCCGATGGTACAGCGAAGGTCGCCGACTTCGGGGTCGCGCGGTTGCGCTTCGAGAAGGACGAGATGACCAAAGAAGTGGGCACTTACCGCTGGATGGCCCCGGAGGCGCTCGGCGCGTTTTCGTCTACGAGCCCTGTTGCGCCAGTCACCCAAAAAAGTGACGTGTACAGGTAAGCCCACCAGAACTCGTCGACTTAAAAGCAGGGGAGCTACAGGGACCAGCTAATCGTTCTGGTTTCCAACTTGACTTCCACATTGTCGTGAGAGTTCGAAGGCTGGTCGATGCAAAGATTTCTGAAGGACGGGAATTTACGAAAGCCTGTTTTAGGTACTCGACCCTGCAGTCAGCAATGAACTGCACATTATTCCGAGGCCCGAATAGGTGGTTCATTTTGCTTCGGCGATACGTCCATGCAGCTACGCCGTCATCTTCTGGAATGCCCACGAGCGGTCGTACCATCGATAGTCCCCTGCAACCGACACTGTGAAAGCTCGATACACGATAACCGGTCAGGCTGGAGACGGATCAGATTCTGAACCAGTTTTTGATCCACCTACGACGCATAGTGGATCTTCCGCAGTCAAGCAGTTGTGCTGTGGGAGTTGGTCACGACGGGCGTTCCTTACCCCAATAACCGTCCCCTGCAACGGACATTTTGACAACCCAAAACCCAAACTGTTCTTCAGGTTCGGGAACAATCCCAAAATTCTCATTTGTGCAGTTACGCGATTGTGCTCTGGGAGTTGGTCACGGGGGGCGTCCCCTACACCAATTACTCCCCCCTGCAAGCTGCGGTTGGAGTCGCTTTGAACAACCTGCGGCCGCCAATTCCGGCCAACTGCGATCCCGCGCTCAAAAGCCTGATGCAGCGAGCGTGGGATAAAGACCCCTGGGTAAGGCCGGAGCTTGCGCAGATAGTGGAGGAACTAGACGCGCTGATACTCAAGCACACGCTTGTGCGGTCGAGGATTGCTCCTCTGGGGGGATCCCCCAGGAGGGTTCCACTGGGCAGGAGTGGCGGGGGGGGCTGAGTTGGATTCTACCCAAGCGCAGAGGGGGTTGTATCAAAGCTAGTAGTATTAGCACGCGCTAATAGTGGACAAACGCTTGTGCGGTCGAGGATCGTTTCCCAGGGGGGTCCCCACGGGGGTTCCTTTGGGGGGGGGTTGGTGGGGGGGCTGGAGAGAGTTTCTGATGGCGGATGTAGCATTAGCATAAGGTAGTTGGAGGAGCCAAAGCGTCGGTACTCTTAAAATGATACGGGTGAGGATTGCTCGGAAGGGGGGTTTCCCATGGGGCGTTTTGTTGGGGGGTCGGCAGGGAAAACGGGTTGCCTTCGAGCGTGGGGGTATAGTTAGTAGAGGCGGAACGGTAGGGAAGATTAAAAAGTGTAATATCCTCTGACCAAAAGAACCAACGGCGGACGACCCAACGGTTAGCCAGCAGGTTTTGCTTCGCACTGATTTATGAAAGGGGGGCAGGAACGAAAACGGGGACAGGAGCATTAACAAGAACGGGAAGGTATAGGCAGATAGGAGAAGAAGACTTGGATACTGAGATGCTCGGAGGTAACTAACGCCGTAAGACGCAACGCCGTCTGGACGCTAACAGCTTGCAAAAGAAAATGGAACGTAAGTTAGCGCCGCGGTAAAGGGTTTCTAGTCAAGGTCTCTGAGGTCGGTTCGTTCGAGCTGCGAGATGATGAGGTAAAACGGTCTGGGGACTAATTGTAGAACCGGGATAAAGCACATACGCGATGACCTTGGGTCCGTTTGTGTACGGAAAGCTGAAAGAGGACAAACCATACGTACTAGAGCCAACGGTATAAACGCTTTGGCCATATCCTTAGAAACATAGGGTGGGCAGGCTTAAAAGTCAGAAGGTGACATCATACTTCCAGACTGACGTTGCTACCGTACATTGTGTTTGATAACGGTATTCTGCTCCAATCGGAAGCTTACATCCAGGACGGGCTGGCTAAAACGATCCGTTAAGTGATTAGTTCGATTTCTTGCCGTATTCCGAAGAAGTGTTGAACTTGAGTGGAAAAGCCTACACTGATGGGCGATCCGCGGGCGGCCGCTCTTGATTAGATTCAAGACGATCGATCATGTTGTTTCACCTTCGACGGCGCATCATACACACGCCGGGTTATCTACCGGCACTTGATCGATCGCACCGTACCGTGTATACCCAATCGATCAGCCGCTCACGTACAACCAGCTCCGGCAATCAGTAGATTGTGCATGCTAATGATGCCATGACTGAGCTACACTCGAAAGAGTTGCAGGCTCATGCCGGTCAGTACTCTGCCAGGCATATCCAATGCAATCAAGCCGATATCACTATTTTTGAACCATCAATTCGATCATGCATCCGGTCACTACAAAGCATTATTTGTTCTGGACGTCGCGCGCTCATGTCTGATTGCGTCAGAAGCGGCTGCATGCAGCATGCATATATAGCCTATACAGTAATGTTGTCAACATCACTATGCCCACATGTCAAAACATCATCGTATGACTGGAGTCTAGCTTCTGGTCAGGAGGCGGGCTGCCATGGCAGTGCATCAATCACGCACTGCAGTGGCGCCTGCATGCTGCATGGCATTTCATACTATAAGGCCTGGCCTCCCTGCAATTTGCAATGATCGACGTCGTTCGTGATTACCGTCGGACTGTAACATTGGATGCCAGCCTGCTAGCTTAATGCGGTCGCTCATCCACTGAGTGGGCCAAAATTGTCAACTGTGTTGACCGCGGTCCTTGAGCGGCCGCCCCGGCGCGGTTCTGAAAACGGTTAAACATTGCGTTCACCAACAGCTTGCGCGATCGAAAAGGAGCGGGACAAGATTCCGATTGTTCAGTGGCAGTTTGCGGAAAAGAGAAAAGGCTATCAACCATTGTTTTTTTTCATTTGCAGAGGTTTGACGTCGATCAATCATGAGCCAAGGCACTCAGGCTGCTCGTTACATGTTACAGGCTTTTGTGCAGACCTCGAAGATAAGGCAAAATGTCCGTTAGAGTCAAGGCTTCGATTTACCGGTCGTTCCGTCAAGTCTGTGTGTATCGTTTCGACGCTTCAACCTGGTTGACACGTTCTAAAGCTGGTAACTGCGAATTCACTCAGGCTTTATTCTCCAAATATGCACAGGAAGCTTACATCTTCTTCTAACGGCTAGGATGCTTAGCCTCGCGACTCGTCGTGACTTTGTCGCATGAATGCAAGGCTTGCGGGCTTTGACTCCACCAATCCTTTCGCTCACCCAGTCATTCGCGTTTTCACAAGCTATTCTTGTTTCCCGTCAACCACGAAGCACCCCCCCTTCTTCACTCCTGATCTGGGATTCCGTTAACTTCTATTCACCATCAACGTCAAGTAACGGGGTCTCACGGGCCCCGTACTTCCGAATCTCGTTCCGGATCTCGTTAACCTTCCCCGGTGCCGCGGCCGCGGCCGCGTCGCCCGACCCAATGACTGTGCCCGGTACGCTCTCCCCGGGGGCCGATTCCGCCGCTAATTTGACCCCCCCGGGCGCGGGCTTTCCCTCGGCGGCCTTAACCCCCGCGGCTTTCAGCGGCTTAACCTCAGCGGGCTGCACCTTTTTGCTCCGGAAGAAGCCGATAAACCAGTGGCCTAACGCGGGCAGGACCTTCTTGTACCCGAACTTGAGCGCGTTGTCGAGGCTCATCATGTCCTTCAGGCCCCCGGGTGACGTCAGGACCGCTGACGTCATCAGGTCGCTGTCGTCATCGTCCCCGCCGTCCCCGGAGTCGTCCGACTTCTTCTTGGCGGCGCCGGCCTTTTTGGCCTTGCCGTCTTCTTTGATGGTGAAAAAAATGCCGAACGCGGTCGCGACGAAGGGGAAGAGACCGCCCATTTGGGAGACGATTCCGGTAATCGTGACGGGGTCTTTTTCCACCACCTTTTCGACCCCCCTGCAAAGAACGAGAAATAATATCTGAATGATACAGAAAATGGTCGCGACGAAGGGGAAGAGACCGCCCATTTGGGAGACGATGCCGGTTATCGTGACGGGGTCTTTTTCCACCACCTTTTCGACCCCCCTGCAAAGTCAAAACTTTTATTTCTTCTCTGGTTCTCGGTTTGACCACAATAGATATTGTCGCGACGAAGAGGGAGAGACCGCCCATTTGGGAGCCGATCCCGCTTATCGTGACGGGGACGTTTTCCACCACCTTTTCGACCCCCCAGCAGAGAAAAAGTATCGGACTTTCGAACTTTTTGCAAGGGACAGAGGAGATATCAACGGGGTGGTGGCTTTCAAGGGCGGAAGACCGCACACGTCGGAGACAATCTCGGCAATCGTGACAGAAACTTTTCCCCTCCCCTGCAAAGGAAGAGAAATCTTATCTATTTCTGAAAGGACGAATGGAAATGACACAGGAAATGGTCGCCACGAAGGGGGAAAGACCGCCCATTTGGAAAACGACCCCGGTAATCGTGACGGGGTCCTTTCCCACTACTTTTTTGAACCCCCTGCAAAACATGAAGCTGACTAGTTTGAAAACTTTTCCTTTTAAGAAGCATGCTAGAAGCGAGGAAACAGTCGCCTTCGAGGTAGAAAGATCGCCCATCTCACTATGTTTGTATCTCTGATACGTCAGCACCCTGCTTCTAGAAAATGTCATCGACCGTCATCACGAGGGGGCCCCCAATCTATACACGACAACGCACTTGACGGCGAGCCGAACTACTTTAATAAAAAGAAAAAAGGTTGATCTCGCCACTGACATCATCGTTGAGAAAACTGGTGAGACAGTGCAAATCACGAAGGGAGATCATCGGGTCAGCTTAACCTCACCTCGTATCCAGAACGAAGTGAACTAGAGCGAAGGTCGAGTAGCCGTACGGGCGTTCCAGTCCGTCGTCGTCGGGCAGCGGAATCAATGCTCCGCTGACGGAGTTCGTTATGAAGGACGCCTCCTGGGAGCATTGAGGAATCAAAATACCAGTAAGAGACCTGTCTATGAGGGTCCAAGTTGGGAGGATGCAGCTTTGGAGCCTTCTTTTCCAAGCTGATACCGGGAATGTTAAGGGGGAACCACAATCTTTAGTCCTCTTGTCAGCAAGGAAACAGGGGAGCTTGACCTCGCAAACACACTCGTTTTATCAACAGAATTAAATGGTGTAGGCACAGAATCAAAAAGGATATAATGCATGAAAGATTCCAGTCATTCGCCCACCTGCGTTCCGTCCAGTCCGAAGCGGATCGACATCGAGATCGTGACGGTGGTGACGGCGTTCATCGGAATGAACACCGGAGTGGAGCCGGTAAGCTTTCCATCGTCGTTTGGCGGGCCGTAGTGTAAATACGCCTTGAGCTGGTTAATGGGCATCACGTACTCTGATTCGTCCGTCAGATTTAGCTTTTGAAGCGGCGCCTGCAATTGGGGTTAATCTTTTGAGTTCGGTGTGGTTATATAAAGTCTGCTTACGGTTTCGGGTTGGTGGGTTTGAAAGTTCGTTTTAGTAACCGTAAATCAACGGGCCGTAGTGTGAACATTTCAAAAAATCTCCGCTCAAATCACCGATTCGTGTCAATTGCGCCTCACCGATCGATTGAAGTAGAGCCCGGCGAAGAAGTCCGGGAAGTCTTCGATGAAGGCGGGCAGGCTGGTGTTGAGATCATAACCCTTATTCTCTGTCCAAGCTGATCACAATATCGTGCTGAATGGTCTTCAACAAATGCTCACCGATCGGTTGAAGTAGAGCCCGGCGAAGAAGTCCGGAAAGTCTTCAATGAAGGCGGGCAGGCTGGTGTCGAAGCTGAGGCACTGGTCGACGCAGTTGCCGGGGCCCTCGTAGCAGTCCCACCAGTTAGTCTCGCCCAAGGCCTGGAACAGTAAGAACGTTTGATGTTACCATTGAGATTATACTGCTTTAACAATTCACATTATATCAGCTGGCAATTTTTGGGCAAAACAAATCAAAGCTCGCAGTCCCACCAGTTTGTCTCGCCCAATGCCTGGAGTTAAGGGAATCTCACGGGGTCGATTCCACATTTGCGTTGGTCAACACATAACACAGAATTTTGTCTGGAAGGTGATTTGACGGATTCGTTGTACATGTCTACATCGCGCCGATACAAACTACAGCCACCTCCTCTCGCAATGTTTCAGAGTAAATCTTGCGGTTGAGGCCGGTTGACACTCGCGTACCAATGTTCTGGGTACCTAAGTAGAGTCGCTAACCCAACCGGTGACTAGTCCGCTGAACCCGTATCAACCTAAACCTCGACCTTGAAGTCTTGTTGTGGCTGCGGTTGCTGAGCGTTGGAGGATCGGCCCATCATAATACAGAGCGTCACTAAGTCTATTTGCGGACCAAGTCTGTTTGCGGAACAGCGCTACACTCCATGTCCGGAAAGGCAGCTCGAAAGTGTTCGAAAGTTCGCTGGTGTCAGAACATTGTCAAAGGGCGCCATGAATCGCATCCGCATCGCGCCAGACAGCGAGAGCGTGGAAACGCTAGCTTTGGATTACAACGAACACTGCAGAAAAAGGCCATCGTTAATCGTTAATCGTTAATGATCGAATTTTGATAGTACGCGCGCTCCACCTTTTCACCCATCCCAGCACTGGGAGGTTTCGCTGGGAATCTGCTGCGAAAGGATTGGGCGGGTGACGTCAGACTGCTCACCAGGGTGACGTTGCACGTGCTCTCTTCCGACCGGTCGAACGAGGGGAGCGACGCGTTGGGCGCCGGAAACGACGCGGGCCCCAGGGCGTCGATGGTCCAGTCGCTGCTGACGCATTCTGCCACGTCAGCAAGTAATGATGTCAGGGCACTTTGGAATGTCCACTTCCAATTCATGAATGATCCGTATACGAACGCTTTGGAATGCTTAAACCTACCTCTTATCGAGCTTCGTCCAATACCTACTACAACCCACCCGTTCAGAAAAATACACCTCAAACGTTTTATCTTACGTCGAAGAACCAGATTTGGGATCGACATGCAGCAGCCCACTGCTCACGCACAAAGGTAACGGTATGTGCAAATGTCGCTCAGATCCCTCACAGGAGGAGCGTCTTGCACTCGGAGATTGGCCCCTCCAATTTCGCGAGGCTTGCGATCGAATCCAAATCGAATTGTGAAAAGGACCCACCTGCCAGGATCGGAGAGTCGAACTCGGTCCCGTAGTATTTGAGAATGGAGTCCTCCCAGCAGATGGAGATCTCCGGCAGCGTGACGTTGCCCTTGAGGATGCTGACCTCACTCGTGGGCGCGTCCCGTTGCGCGAGCGTCTACGAAAGAAGAATTCTTTCGATGTTAGAGGGAGGATGGCACGCCTTCGTTTTGTTTCTGAGAAATGGATCGTTATGTTTCCCATGTGGGTGACGTCGGTCGAAAGATCACGTCTGATTCTACGTACGGCCTGCGGAGTGCCAGGTTTAAAAAGTCAACTAGCAAAGCTGAGGAAGAAGCGAAACAGTAAAAATTGAACATGGAGAACAGACGTGATCAGCGAGAGCGGACATCCGAAGGGTAGAACAGGGTAGATCTTACTGTTCAAGTATGGTCAAGACGCCACCGCAAGGCCACGCGCACATCTAGAATCACTCGGACTCGGGCCACGTATCAAAAAGTGAGCCAGCGCAGAACAGAGAAAGAAAAGAATGGATTGCAAAGAAGCGAGGCACAGCTTAAAGATGAGCGGGACGTCAAAGAAAGGAAAAAGGATGAGATGTCTTACGTCGTTGATTCTGGAAACGCACGTCACTGCCCATTCACTCATCTGGATTCCGCGGACTATCGGGCCCGGAATCCACAAACATACCAGCACACAAACGAGAAACCCGTGAAATACAAAGGAGCAACGCACAGCAAAAGGCCGCAGAAAGGAAAGCCGGATGAGTCGTCTGACGTTGATAATTGTGAAGACGCACGCAACAGCCCATGCGCATATGCACCCAAGTCGCTGGCTCAAGGGCCCAGGATTTGAAGCCGACCAGCAGGAGAATGAAGGAGGAGTGGGAAAACAAAAGTCAGGCACACCTTCAAAAACAAGTTGGCCGACAATCCAAAGGAACAAGGGACGAACTCTTTTATGTTGATGACTTCGGAGACGCACTTTATCGCCCATCCGAATTCGTCCTACTGTCGAGGCCAGTATCGGAAAGTTGAGCAGTACAACCGAAAAAAGAAATGAGGAGGATACCAAGAAGTGAAGCCCAGCACGAGGAAAAACGCAAACCGGAAAATCAAAAGGAAGGAGGAATGGGAAAAAGGGTGGATTTCCTTACGTTGATGATCGTGAAGACGCACGCTACCGCCCATCCGCACATTACAATCACCTTATTGGGCCAGTAGCAGAGTCGAAGTTAAACATCGAAAAGAAGAAGCATAGGTTAGTCGAGCATACAGCACAACTAGACCGAGCACACACTAGCTAAACGGCAGAAGAAGAAGAAGATGAACCATCTTACGTTGATAATCGTGAAGACGCACGCTACCGCCCAGCCGCACATTAGGATCACCCAGATGACCCATGCTGGCTTCCGCTCCCGGACGTTCACGTCCAGGGGGAGAAGGAATCCCATCCCGGCACTGCGTCCGAATCAACTAGAGTGGGGAGCTTGTCCGAATGTCGACAGGAATCAGGCTCGTCCGTTTGCCTGATTCATGTAAAGAGGGTGGGGTCAATGCGATGCAGGAATGGGTTTTGCAGAGGGGGAAAGAACCCCCATCCCAGCGCTGCGTCCGAATCAACTAGAGTGAGGAGCTTGTCCGAATGTCGACAGGGAATCAGGCTCGTCCGTTTGCCTGATTGATGTAAAGAGG